AACTTGAACATCTTGGGATATTTACTTTGTTTACGGAAGTTGATAAATAAATGAGTAAGGAATTAAATAAATAATCTTATCTCACCTTCACCGTGTAGCTTCTCACCAAATCATAATAATTTCCCCCTTGCCTCCATTCCATCGCCGCTGGCTCCATGTCTTTGTTAGCGTCGTTTAGCTCACAATTGTTTTCTTTGGAAAGAGGGAAATAGTTCATGGATACACACAGGCAGTCATCTTTGCACTTCAAGTGACACTGGATGGCGTTTGGGACTGTCAATCTTTCAAACACGTGACCCTCAAGAATTTGGTTATGGATGACACCGCGATCGATAGCAAACTTAAAGTTTTGACAAGTAACTTTTTCCTGTGCTTCACTGGAGAGGGTCAAACTGAATACAAACAGCACGACTTGGAGATATTGTACGATGCCCATAGCAATAGCACTATTGATGTGAAGAAAAAAATATACATGATTATTTAATCTGGGGTAATCTGGAACCAAATAAATAGATATTTGGGTTTCTTGCTTAAAAGCGACCAACATTGATGGATTTTTCAAAATTAACTATGAAATTATTTTCCTTAAAGCATGAACCGTAACATTTACCTTAATTGCAACGGAAAGAAAATAATCGTTAGCAGTAAAATTGCCAAAATTTTAGTCGTTAGCCGTAAGAGCCATTACCATATTGAGACCTTCTGAGTCAGTAAACGTTTTGAAAGACTGAAAAGAATTTATTCGTCTCGCTGGGGAGTCGATCTTCACTACAGAATCACTTATTTGCGGAATTTTGAAAAGGAGACCGGGCAAACATTCAAGCCCAAACGAAATTGCTCCTCGACGGTTTCTGTTAGGAATACTCTTCAAAAGGAACAGTAAACGTTTCCTGCAGTTTAGCCTAAGCTGAACACAGTTTATAAAGAATTGATTGTCAGCTCAAATGCTAAGCTGATTTCTCTTCATTCCTCAGGTTGAAATGGAGGGAGATATATTTGCCAATGGAACTGATATAAAAAAATACACGAACCAGTAATTGCTGATTAAAAGTATGTCGGTCCCAGTTGGTTGAATACAAAGCTAAATGTCGAAGTATATCAAATCTCAGTGAAACAGCCGCTGCGATGAGCCAAAATTTTAATCGTTAGCCGTAAGAGCCGTTACCATGGTGATACCTTCTTCTAAGTCAGTAAACGTTTTAGAAGACAGTAAGGAGTGTAGTTGTCTCGCTGTACAGAATCACCAAATTGCCGTAATCCGAAAATATGTTAGACAAAAACTTAAGCACAAAAGAAATTGCTCCTGAACAGTTTATGTTAGGAATACTCCACAAAATAAGCTGTAAAAATGCACGGCAGTTTAGCTTCAGCTAAACACTCAGTTTAAATACCAAGCTGATTTCTCTTCACCGCGTAGGTTGCAATAAAGGGAGATATTCTGGACTATTCAGTCTTGATTTCATTTTAAGATTGGCAAATGGAATTGATATGAAAAATAAACGAACCAGTTTCAATTGCTCTACTGCAGTAATTGCCGATTAAAAGTATGTTGGTTACAATTAGTTGAATGCAAAGCTAAGGCCGAAGTATGTCAAATCTCAGTTAAACAGCCGCTGCGATGAACGTTATCATGATAGCATGTTTCTGTTTGACGTTCATGTATTTAAAAAAATCGCCTAAGTTTGAGGAGTTTTTCTTGAAATGTAAAACTTTCAAGACTTTCATGTGTGACCGTTAATTAAGAAAAACGTTTTAAATTAAGGAGAGATGTCAAAAGGTTTTGTGTTACAAAACCACAAAAAGAGAAACGCTACCTACCATCAATTGTTAAAAGATCCTTTTTAAACAATGCACTTGATGAGTATGTATCTTCGACGGAATATTCTCTAAGAATGATTTGCAATGTATTTTTCCTACATTAATATTTAAAGCGGATCGCAATTTATTGTTTACCACAATATTTGAAACATTGATGAACGTATTAATGTAAGCTTTCTTTCCATCGGCGAATGAAAATATGTCAAGTCTTGCCACACCTGCTAATGGCTCAAACTTATGGCTGGTTTCTTTTCTAGTTTTAAAAAAAAGTATCAAGTACACACCAGTCGGCTACAAATCAAACAAACCTAACAAACCCTTATAATATCCGTAGACTTAAAAAAGCACATAAACTTGAGTAAGCAAAATAACCATTTATATTCACTGGAAAGTTCTCTCTGTAGGGGCAGTTAATAATTATTTACCTCTTATAATATCCATAGACTTAAAAAAGCACATAAACTTGAGTAAGAAAAATAACCATTTATACTCACTGGAAAGTTCTCTCTGTAGGGGCAGTTAATAATTATTTACCAAAGTAGAGGTGGATATTGATGGAGATTATCTCTATTATTTTCACCGACACTCACCCCAGGTAAACAATTATTTTAGTATATGCCTGACAGAAAAAAAACAAAGTTATTTATTTCAGTCAATAAACTGAAGAGGAGTCTGAAATTAAACTCTCGACGTGATATTTGTCTCTACGGCTGAGTGGAGCTGATTTATCACTTCCTAGCTAGCCAATCAACGTGTACGAAAAGCACTATTTACCCGTGTGGGGAAAACTAAAATGAATTACTTACGTTCATGACTACAGCCTTATAGGATGTTTTAAAAGAGAATCGCAATTTTTTTCAAAATATTATGAGCTCTCGTCGTGTTCCATTGGGGAACATTTAGCAACCCTTTGTTTCGGTGACTATTGATGTTAAATGTTTCGAAAATTGTAATTTTTGAGCTAAATTTTGAATTGGTCGATTTCAGCTCCGTTTTTCGAAGAAAAATAAATTTTGAGCCTTATTCGGAGAAATGAAGAGCGTATTCTTTTTTTTACAAGTAACGATGAAGAGCTACGTACATAAACGTCCTGGAAATTGAAAGTCTAGAATTTACTATAGCCTGTTTTATTTGGTTTTAATGATAAAATAGATACTGTTTTTTATAGAGTAGGTCACTTCAGGATACTATTCGAATAACTAAATGTGTTATTAATAAACTTTGGTCCATACTAAACAAATCAAGGTAACTGTACAAAACATGGTGTTCTTCGAAGAAATATCCCTATGCAAGCCACCTTTACAAAGACCGAGCAAAAGTTTGCATAAATGCAAAGCTAGATATTCGTAATATTATGAAAATATGTTCATCTTGTATGGGTTTTTGTTTTTATGGCATTTGAAGTTCTTCAAATGCAGACTGTACTGTTGTGCCTATATTATTGAAATGCCAGCTACCGTGTTCCCACAGAAATCAAAACAAACTGCGCCTCGTAACTTAAAAGACATTGAGGTAAATTTTCAAATAACCAAGATTCATGCAGCAATTGCCTAGAGACACACAGGTGAAAATGAGGTTTTGAAAGACTCACCAGCGAAACACAAAGCTAAAAACCTTTTCGAAGAAATGCTTGCTAATAATTGTTCAAATTTTGCTGTTGGACGGCCTCATTCTTTTTCTGGGTTTTTAGCGTGTACTTTTTGCCTTCTGAGGTATAATCATGATGCAGTAAATAACTTTTAATCGATATGAGGCAAATGCACCCTAAATTAAATAAGAGAAAATGTATTCATTAATAGGTAGCCATTCCATGCAGTATTCGTCTTGGGAATAATACTTCCGTTCGAGAGACTGTCTATTCATTGTATTGTAAGTGAATTTTACATTTCCTACGGCCTGGACAAGGTGCCTCCTTCTCTATCCCATAATGTTCTCTTGTTATTTATCAAAACTTTTCCTCTCAATTTTTAAATTTTTACGGATAAATGGAAATGTCGTGGATTTGCCAAAACCTAGAACATCATCCGAACTTCATAAGCTATTATCACTTTTCATTTCAGCTTTGAAACATGTATGGGTAGCACATGCCTCGTAATGAAAAATTTACATATTTATCTCTAGCATCCGTTAATATTAAAAACACGCAAATATGATCAAGAAGACTATCTCTTGAAATCAAATGGAACGTGGTGTCTTCAAGGGAAGTTAATGGTAACCAAACCAACTTTATTGTCTGGTCTGAGAAAATTAAATATTTATGTTCATAAGTAAGGTGGAAAAAGAATCTCCTGATAAACCCCTCCATTGAGACAAGGATTAGAGAGGCAGCATCTATTAACATAGCAATCCTCTTTCGCGCTGAATTTATCTCCACCCTACAGGAATATAACAGGTTGCTCACATAACTTTTTTAGAAACTGTTTTGAAGGAGTACTGGAACACTTGAACAGCTTGGGATACTTACTTCATTTACGAAAGTTCATAAATAAATGAATAAGGAATTAAATGAACAATGTTATCTCATCTTCACCGTGTAGCTTCTCACCAAATCATAATAATTTCATCCTTACCTCCATTTCATTGCCGCTGGATCCATGTCTTCGTCAGCGACGTTAAGCTCACAATTATTTTCTATGGAGTGAGGGAAACAGTCCATGGATACACACAGGCAGTCATCTCTGCACTTCACATGACACTGGGTGGCGCTGTGGGCTGTCAATCATTGAAACACGTGACCCTCAAGAATGTGATAAGGGACGACATCGTCATCGATTGCAAACTTGAAGATTTGAGAATTTACTGCTTTTTGCGGCACAGTGGAGAAGGTAATTTAATACAAACAGCATGACTTGGAGATATTGTAAGATGCCCATAGCAATGGCACTATATTAATGTGAAGAAAAAAGATACATGATTATTTCATCAGATAAGCATTGGGTAATTTGAAACGAAATGAGTAGATGTTTGGGTCTCTTACCTTAAAGCGACCTCCATTCATAAAATTTCTTGAGATGGAACATTTGCTCATTTGTGGAAAATGCATTGATGCATTTTTTTAAATTATCAAGGAAGTTGTTTTCCTTAAAGCACTAACCGTAACATTTTTTTCCAATTGCAACGGAAAGAGAAAAATTGCCAAATTTTAGTCATTGGCCGTAAGAGCCATCACCATGTTGAGACCTTCTGAGTCAGTAAACGTTTTGGAAGACAGTGAGGAGTGTGTTCATCTCGCTGTGAAGTCGCTCTTCTCTACAGAATCACTTATTTGCGGAATTTCGAAAAGAAGATTGGGCAAACATTCAAGCCCAAACGAAATTGCTCCTCGACAGTTTCTGTTAGGAATGCTCTACAGAAGGAGCCCAGCGTAACTGACGTACCCTGCAGTTTAGCCCAAGCTGAACACAGTTTACAAATAATTGATTGTTAGCTCAAATGTAAAGCTGATTTCTCTTCATTGCCCAGGTTTCAATGGAGGGAGATATATCGGCAAATGGAACTGATATAAAACGTAAACGAATCGGGTAATTGCTGATTAAAAGTATATCAGTTGCAGTTACTTAAATGCAAAGCTAAATATCGAAGTATATCAAATCTCAGTGAAACAGCCACTGAGATGAACTTTATCAAAAACTGACGTTCATGTATCAACTTTGAGGAGTGTTACTTGAAACGTAAAACTTTCAAGAGTTTCCTTTGTGTCCTTAATAACAAAAGTAGCGTTTTGAAAATAAGGGAGATCTCAAAACGTTATGTGTTACCAAACCAAAACAAGAGAAACTCTACCCAGCATCAATTGTTAGAGATCCTCCTTCAGCAACCGCACTTATGAGTCTCTGCACTCTACAGAATCAACTCAAAGAATGATTTGGAATGTGTTATTCACACTTTAATATTTGAAGAGGGTCGCATTTTATTATTTACCGTAGGAGTATCGGATGGAGAATATTAATGAAAGCTCTTAAAGTGTTTCATTAGCATTTTATTAGATAGCGTGCAAAAGGATATCCTGCGTGTATCCGGCCCGTGTCTGAATATGCTTGCCAAGTTTTCCACAATGGTCTACCTGAGTATCTCTCTGAAGAGCTAGAGAATATTCAGCGCCGTGCAATAATTTTCCCAGTCTTAAGCTACCAAGAAGCTCTTAAAGAGTGCAATATTGCCACCCTCTACCAACGGCGCCAATTGCTGACGGAGCGCCTTTTCAGTGAGATCAAAGACAACACCTGCCACAAATTACATGACCTTTTGCCGTCATGTTATCTTACTACCGTAACCTTAAGGAGAAAGCGCGCTTTTAACGTACTTTTTGCAGAACAAATAGACTGAAGAATAGTTTTATCATGTACAACGCGGCTATTTCCTAATGGCTTTATCATGTGTGATGCGAATTTTAATATGCACATATAGTATTTTTTAGCCTTTTTTTATTTTATTTTTTATTCTTTTTGTATTTAGTATTAAGTAAACATTTTTACAGTCCGTAATAATTTTTATCCATGTTTTGAAAGTCACTGTGACGATTCTGTGTACAAAATCAAAAGCAAATATCTGCGGTGTGAATGAAAATCGATAGCCTGTGGGCCGTAGTAGCACCGATAGGTGAGACTTCTTTACAATCAGGTGTTTCGAATATATTCCAGTCAAGGTTAAATTGACTTATCAAGATTGTCGCAGTTATTTAAGTTCTACATTAGCGTGATTATTGCATCAGTCAACTGCTGCTCAGAAGATGAGTCAACGCCCAGAACCTTCTAAGTTTGCATGTGGAAATGGGCACCGAAGGCTATTTTTCTTTTATCAGCGCCACGTTGTAATTGATAAGAGATGGAAAGTTTTACGTTCGTTACTCGCTCAACTTATCCATGTTTTCAAACTGGAACGAATAATTGGTCTGGTTAGGTTATTATTTTTCCAACTTGTTTTAATCAACCCAGTTTGCTATTGATATTTCACTAAGAGTTTCAATCGCCCAACGACGTATAAAGTTTCACTCATAAATTTAGAAAAATGCATGAAAAAATGGTAAGATATCACAAAGTCGTTCTCAAACTCTGACTCTTTTCCAGAAAGATGTGCTAATAAAGAACAAAGATGATAATATGGGACACTTGTCATCATTGATACTTCTTTACTTTCTTTTCCAAGACCGCACGCCATCCATTCACAGTTTAAAAGCGTCAACTAGAGTATGAGAGACTTAGGTCAGACTTCACATTTGGAGAGTCTACTAGTCATCAACACTGGAAGTAATAATAACATCGAAATAGAATATAACCCGAAGCAATTTTACTATTTCTCCAGGCATTATTGTTGATGTTAAGTTGTTGTTTTTTTTCTTCCTGTATTCATTCACCCCACACGAACACTCACAGCTGGGCCTTGAAATGATCGTCCGTGAGGTTGTTTGTGCATCAAAATACGGCACAACTCGTAAAAATACTCAGCTACAAACCAAAACGTCTAATAAGATATATTCATCCTAAAAATATACTAAAGAAATAATAAAATAGCTTCCTATAACTTCAAGCTTTGACAAAAACAAAACGAACAGACCCACAATAGGAGAGTAAAAATTTCTAAATCATTTATTAACTGAGGAGGGTTGTCCAATACACCCAAACCGCTACGAATCGTCAAACCGGAAATCGATTCGCGGCTAAGTGGTGTTGTGATACCGGAGTTCTGAGAAACCATCTCTTAAAACATGGAAACGCATACCGGAAGTCATTTTGTAAGAGACTTAGAAAATATTCCGCAAGTGCCTGCGATAGGGGGTTGAAGATGTTGTCGAATCGACTCGAATCGAACGACCCGTCATACCGGATGTCGATTTGCAAGACACTTGGAAACGCATACCGGAAGTCAATTTGTAAGAGACTTAGAAAATATTCCGCAAGTGACTGTGAAGGGGGGTTGTCGATGTTGTCAAATCGACACGATTCAACTTGATTCGAACGACTCGTCACCACAAATGACGACCCGTCATACTGGATGTAATTTGCATCCGGTATGACGGATTGTCATTTGCTGTGACGAGTCGTTCGATTTGAGTCGAATCGTGTCGAATCGTCAACATTTGCTACACTGTATAGTTTATACTAGTTATAGTTCTCACTAGAGCTGCCCCCGTCCTACAGTACCATTTTCTTTTTTTTTTTTTGAGTTGGGCTTGTTGTTTACAGTTGTGTAGTTATGACCATTTGCGAGAAAAACGTTGATACCTTGCGGCCGTGCAAGCGATCAAATCGAGATTTTTTTTGGTTACGATCAACCGAAAACACCTACATTCTCTCTTCTCCAGTCTTCCTCTATACTAGGACAAATCTCGTGTCAAAGACGCCGATCCTAAAAGTCCTCGCGCGCGTGTCTTTTTACTGGCAGCCCATGACCATTTGCGGGAAAAACGTTGATACCTTGCGGCCGTGCAAGCGATCAAATCGAGATTTTTTCTGGTTATGACCTACCGAAAATACCCACATTCCCTCTTCTCCAGTCTTCCTCTATATTACGCGGGGAGTCCTAAGGTGCCTCCTCGGGTTTTCGGCCCTCTGGGGCCAAAAACCCTGCGGGGGCAAATATTCTGACGATAGACTTCCGGTCGTCTCACGCTTTAAGAACGTGGAAGGTTCATGTTGTCACGTTCTCGTAACATGCCAATCATTTTAACTCATTGCTTACATGCGCGCCCCTCGACTTCGGGTATGTTAAGGCACGATTCGACTTCCAGTGTGACGATTCGTCAATGACCGTTGACGATCGCAACGGTTTGGATGTGTGAGACATGTATGTTTGTGGTAAGATCTGTCTCGAAAGGGAGCTTTCTTAAATGACAATTTTGACTGAAGCCGGTTGGCGAGAAAGAGAGAGCATTTTTATGATTAAACCTCTTTTCAAATCCTTCGACCAGGTACATGGTGGACTCGTCCTCTAAACAACAGATACAAAGTGAGCCGTTTTCGACTCCAAAGATGTAAATATTTCTTTGTGCAAAAATATGAAAGTGGACTTCTATCATCCTGCTGACTCCTGAGATGTATTTACAAGGCTGGAGAAGAGATCGGTTTTCGAGTCATTTAACTGCAGATGTCTCTTTCGCCCTCAATACAAATATCAAACTAGTATCTGAGAGTACGTAAATTGATGAAACAGCATTCAGGCGATTAAATGAAATGTGATGCTGCCCCTTCCTATAGTTATCAAGTTGTCTACAAACAAACTTAGTGCAACTATGCAATTCAGTCATTTAGGATCATGTTATATCAATTGCATGTGTATGTTACAGATATAAGTTTATATAAAGGTTCGTAAGGCGTATTTGAACATATTCGTATGATAGCTTACGCATACAAGCCATGAATCATTACTAAACTACTACTACAGAGCAATGTTGTTCCTGTTTTCAAAAGGGAGCTAAGATTGCATTAGCTTTGCATTTTTGGTATAGAGAATTCGGGCTAATCTCCTACCTAAGCAATGCATAGCTAAAAACAATCTCAGATTACAACGGTTTGCTTGTTTCTCTTTGATTTCTAAATAGTTCCTGTGATATCATATTTCGTTCTGATTAGCTGTCTATATTGTTTCGGTTTGACAATACTCGTTGAAAAATCGTTCTATCAACGTCATACAATCAAACATCTTATAGGAAGCGGCTGTAACGAGACTCAAAATCAATTTCTTCGATTTCAAAAAAAAGGTTTCCGAGAAACCAAAGGCCTATGTTGATAAAAATAAAACAAATCAAAAAGCAATCACAACCAATAAAAGACAGAATCCTTAAAGAAAAGAAAAAAAAACCTTATCTATTACTCAGAACTCATTCTAGCTTTAGCAGATTATTGGAACTTAGAACAAACTATTCATGTTTAACCCCAAACCAGTATTGCGTTGTAGAAGGATCCGAAGAGGAGCAGCGGTGATTCGTATTTATTGCTCCGGAACGATACCGTCCAAAATTATTTTCGTTGTCAACTGCTCCTGGTGACCCATCAAAATCGCATCCGTTTTCCTTGCTTTTGAAACTGTTCACGAACCAAGCACCATTAAGATCCATTCTCGTGTAGGCGGTGCAACCAGAACAGTGAATTCCACGGATGTTAATATACTCAAACAGTATGCAATCTCCACCCCAGTCACCGAATATGTCATGACCTGCCAGAACTGCGCGTGCGTAGTCCGTATACTGCAGGCCATCTGCAGGTAAGTTGCATGTTACTCTCAGATGTGTGGAGTGATTTGAGAGAGACTGCATATTTGATAAGGAAAGGCGGTAAGAGTTCCATTCCGGTTCATTGTTATTGTCATTCACAGGAAAATCCGTGCCAAACCCCTTATCCTTATATGTGGCCTTATTGGCGATGGAGAACGACTGTATCAATGCCCATACAAAGCCAGGTTCTAACTGTAAGTCACAGTAAACAGAAAACGGTTTATTGGCTGAATCAAAAATATTGTATTTTCCTGATTGTGAGGCTCCGTTGTCAGCGATGTCTTTGCAGTTTCTTGGATGTGTAGTGTGACCACAACGCTTACCGGTGTATTTGTAAGAACAGGTGCAGTTAAACCCGGGGCTGCGATTGTCACAAATCTCCTGACATACCCCCCCGTTGAGGCAGGGATTCTGGTTGCAGCATCTATTAACGCAACGATGTATCCCTGGAATGTAGCTTCCTCCACCCTAATTAAAAATGAACCTTTTTTCCCTAAAACTATTCCTTGCTTAAGGTAAAGTCAAGCGGTGCAGATATTCGGAAATAAATATATGGGAGGGGGGACGTACAAAAAAGAATTGGTCTTAGCTTGCGTATATCAAATTATGGATGCACGCGGGAACTAGGTTTTAAGAGCACGAGAGAAGCGTAAGGGTTGCTTGAGTGCTCTTCAAACTCCCAAGTGCATCCAAAACTCGAGGTATAGTTAAAGCGTGAACAAATTTCGTTATAAAATAGCATGCAATTTGTGCTCGAAAAAAAAGAGTTCATTACAACTTTGTCTGATTAACTTGGTAATCGTTTTCTACCCAAAAACTATGAATAAATGACAAGATAAAAATGACCAAGAAATATTTTGAGACCAAATCTTTATTCAAAGAATTGTAAATTTTCTGCTCAAAAGCAGAAACGAACGAATTTCTTGCATTCAACATGCTTCAATCGTTGTTTACTAGAATTCAACGCCAGAAATTTGCGCATGTTTCTGTTAGAGATTTTGAAAATTCTGAAATTGTACGGTTTTAAATAAAATTAAAATCTGCTATTTAACAATACTTTTAGGATATATCAACACTTAGAACTGATATCAACCGTTCAAAACACGAAGTAAAAGCCTATAAATTTCTCGCATTTACGAGATACGTGTGGTAGATTTACGCTGCTTGAGATGCCGCTGTTTACTAAAATTTACTACCCGAAAATTGCTTAGCTTTGAACTAAAAACTCTGAAAATCGTACGATTTCTAAAACAAAATATTCCATTGAACAAAACTTTGGTACATGTCAATGCTTCACAATAATATTTTCCGCTCTAAAGAAGAGTCCCCAGCGTCGCAAAGTCTCAGTTGAAGTCAGAAAACTCAGTTCTGTTTCCAGCCATAATTCTCATCGCGTTTGCAAATAAAATATTGTCAACTCTGAAACTAATTACGTCGCTCGAAGAGCTGCTTGCTCATCGTTTTTTTCGAAACGAGTCTTATTCAGCATATTTTGTTTTCCTTTTGAGCCGCAAAGGTCTATCTCAATCGGGATAGAACGGAAAAACAATCTTCAGTGATAGTTTTGAATTCTCGGGGCTAAACTAGACGGGATTTTTTAGGCGAAGTGAAACTTCACTCTTCATGTTATGGATGCAATGACGAGCACTAAATATACATTAAGTATTTTGTTATATAATTAGACTTTCCATCAGACAATCATTTGGCAAAAACATGCTGTTGTATTCGGCGCGCGGGCAACAACTACGCAATTGTATCCCGGTCGGGATACATTTGAATTTTATCAGGGGCATGTGACTAAGAATTAACCAATTACAGTCCTCGTTTGTTGAGTGAAAGTCTAGGTAGATAACAAGGATTTTTATTACGGTACCTCCCTTAGGATATAGGTAGGCCTTGCACGCGTGCTATGTTGTGATAAAGATGTAAGTGAGAAGAAAAACTAAGACAATTCTATCAACAACAAACGATTCTATCTCCCACCTTCACCGTGTAGCTTCTCATCAAATCATAATAATTTCCTCGTTCACTCCATTTCATCGCCGCTGGCTCCATGTCTTTGTTAGCATCGTTGAGCTCGCAGTTATTTTCTTTGGACAGTGGGAAATAATTCATGGATACACACAGGCAGTCATCTTTGCACTTCATGTGACACTGGGTGGCGCTGTGGACTGTTAATCTTTGAAACACGTAACCCTCAAGAATGTGATTATAGACGACATGCTCATCGATAACAAACTTGAAGTTTTGACAATTTACTTTTGGCTGCGCCTTATTGGTGTGAGTGAGCTGAGATGCCAACAACATCGCATGTAGATAGCGAAGAACACTTATGATGTACCTTAAAAACGTACAAATGAGATGGTTATCTTAATTCCATAATTATACCGAGGCATTTAAAATTTAGTTTTCAGCAATCGGAGTCTACTTAGAAAAAAAGGCAAAGAATTGTGAATAGGTACGTGATCGTACTATGGTGTAAACGCGACTCGACCTCAGGTTACGATCAAGATCTTAACCAGCGTCTTAAAATGTTTCCTTCTTTTGACGCGAAAGTGATTACGTAATGCTTATTAAGAAAAGGACCATTGTTCTCCAGGATCAAATATCTCGATGACAGATTAAATAACTAATATAAAAAATTGGCCGAGATTGAAATGAGAATCTGAGGTACAGTGTGCATGGCGCACCAGATATATTTTGCTGTGTTGATGGTAGAAAAAAGTGACTTATCGAATAGGTCATGACGCATGAGTTTTGTTCAATCAACGGAGTAGAAACAAATTGCATGTTGTCTCTTCTCTCCAGTAGTTCAGTAACAAACTTTTGGTTTTAACTGAGTACCATCTCACTGCACTAACCTTAAAATGTCCATTGTTTTATGGCTTCAGAAAATCCTTCGAGAAAGATTTGCGGGCGAACAGATGTTGTTGAAACTATATGTATATCCGGTAATATCGATGCACCTTTATACTTGAAAAATAATATAAAAACACGATAATGAACCAATTAAGATCATTGGCTCTGTTTAAGACGTTACCTTGAAGTCATCCGAAATAAACAATGGATAAGATATTGCAATTCTGTTGACACAGAATTTAACAGAGAGTATTTCATAACTAAACATTTGCATCAAATAACTGAAATCCGTCACATTTACAGCGGTGATCAAAATTTAATTAACCTTTTAAATGTCGGGAAATTTTAACGTTTCATGTCAAAAGTTCTCAACTTTTCTGGGACAGTTAACAAAGTGTCCCTCTCACCATTAGCTTTCTTTCGGCTCATATTAACAATGTTAGAAGTAATGTTCTTGGAAAATGTGATAGAATCATGCGACTGCATGGTGAAAGGCTATTCGGGAGTTTAAGATTTCACAACGGCGACGTGTGGTAAAATGTTGCTGAAAAAAACGTTATTTATTTTCCACTAAGTTTCTCACCAATAGCTCGATGTGTTAACCGTTTCTGATGGTACGACATCTTAACTTCGGCATAACATGGGAATGTGGTGACAAGTTCAAAGTAAAAAAGGTGACTAAATTGCTGTGGAAGTAACCTTGTTGAGAGAAGGTATCAGTTGGTGATTTCACGTCTTTTTTCTGTATGGGACGGACGGCTGAGAAATGTACAAAGTTTTAGAACGCACGGGTTTCGCTATTTTTTAGCTCTTTAGAGCTTTTTTTTTTGCTACGTTCTCGCTTTCGTCGCCGTCGTGGTTTTTTCTAAAAAGAGCCTTAAGATCCGAGGACGGCGAGGTCGTGAACTTGGGGGAATGGGGAGAGGTCGCCGTCGTAAGGCGCGAAAAATAACCTTAAGAACACTCGTAGAAGATGCAGTCTGCTCCACAACAGGCAATTCTCCTTCTTTCCACTTCTGAACGCGATAATTTTGTTCACGCAAATATGCAATTGCGTCACCTCCACTTCTACTGCTTTTTTTGCTTTGGTTTCACTTCTTCCTCCTCTTCATTCCGCTGCCTTTCCTGTATTCTGCTCAGGTTTTCTACAGCCTCTGTTTCTCATTTCCTCTGCTTTTGCGTTGTCAGTTTTCTTCTTATCGTTTTCTACGGTGTCTTCAGCTGCAGCTGCGGCTATTTCTTCCAGACCCTTTTCCAACCTACTCAAATGACATTCAATTCCATTTGCCTTCTCTTCTTCTTTCATCTTTGTTTTAAATTTCTCGCTCAGCAGTATGTTTCTTTCTCTAACAGCAAGCTCACTGACTTTGAATCTGAAAAACTACAATAATGTTTAGCTCCAGCGATTTTTTTCGTTAAACAAACTCGGGTAAATCATCTAGATTAAATTCCTAGTTTAGTTTTAACACTCATTACGAATATGAACTGAGAACAACTTACTGGACTGTCTTATTTGAACTCGTCTCCATTTCAGCCTATTTGAGTCACGAAGTTTTGAAGCTGTTTAGAAGGAGAAAGAAACTTCGGTCAAGAAAAATGTTGACATTTCATTATATATTGAAAATATACGATAAGTTCATTTGAAATAACCTTTAAGTAAAAAAAACTTACTTACGTTTTTTAGACAAAAGACAAACACTTCGTTTTGACGTCGCAGACAACACAGCTACGGTGGAAAACTTCGCGCACCGGCTACCGGAAATGCGCCAGCAAATATTTTAAACTTCCGCTCGCCGTCGTCCCTAAAGTCCCTATTTGCGGATCGGTTTACGTCAATCTGTTGGGCCCTTCATTAATTGAGGTTTTCAGCCAATTCAGAGGCTTTCATCCACCATTTCGCCATTATTGATGACTAACACGTCAATGTTGCGTGCGTTTGAACTGGATTCCAGTTCTTGGAAGTACTAAGTCAACATGCTCCAGTCAAGAGGGTTAAAATTAGATCTAAACCTAACCCGTTTATAACACCAGAAATTCGTCAACTAATGAGAACGCGCGACCAATGGCGCAAACTTGCGGGAAAAACAAATGACCCCTTCCACTGGAACGGATACAGATTTTTTCGTCAAGAAGTGAAAAGGGAGATTCGTGTGGCCGAAAAAGTTCACGTCAGGACTCAGATCCTGGATAGCAATGGAAACCCTAATTCAATTTGGAAAATCATTAACCGGTGTCTACCACGTAAACAACAAGATAGTTTTATGGCTTCTGAGGATCCCACTGGGTTAGCTAACGAATTAAATGATTTCTTCATCTCCGTCGGCAGTATTACTGCTCAAAAAGCCAGGGACTTATCTTTACATCATGGACTTAGTGTAAATTTGGACGTGCCGACTCCTTTACACATATCCACCGACGTTAGCCCCGAATTATTCGTTCTCCATCAAGTCACGGAAAATCAGGTAGAAAGGGTGATTAGAAGCCTACCATCTAACAAAGCTCCTGGAATGGACAAGATATCCTCCAGAATTCTTAAAGACAGTTTACCCAGTACGCTAACAACAATTACCCACGTTGTGAATAACTCCTTTGTTACCAACACATTTGCACGTGCATGGAAAACAGCAGAGGTTACACCTATTCTCAAATGCGGTAATCCAGATGTCCCTAACAACTATCGCCCCATCTCATTATTACCAATAGTCTCAAAAGTCACTGAAAGGTTGGTACATGGACAACTTATGGAGCATCTAATTAGAAATAATAAACTGGCAGCACATCAGAGCGGAAATAGAAAGCTTCACTCGACAGAAACAGCTCTGTTGTACGTTACAGATCAGTTGCTCCAGGCTATGGATAACAAGAAAGTTTCCATCATGGTCTTATTAGACATGTCTAAAGCATTTGATAGTATTCGACACGACATCTTGTTATCCAAGCTACAAAATCTCGATTTTTCCCAGGGTGCGTTGAATTGGTTTCAGAGTTACCTTTCTAACCGACAACAGTGCGTTCGAATAGGTGACGCAGTTTCTAAAGTACTCCCACTTGAGTACGGAGTTCCGCAAGGCTCTATTTTAGGTCCGGTTTTGTTTACAATCTATGTTAACGACCTCCTTTCTGTTCCTAAACGTTGTCTATCTGCCTCCTATGTTGATGACTGTAAATTGTACTTGTCCTTTTCACCTGCCGAATTACCCACGTCCATCCTCGCCTTAAACGAAGATCTTACGAGAATATCTCAATGGTGCTGTAAAAACTCTCTTTTGATTAATCCGGACAAAACTAAGGTTCTAGCTGTTGGATTACCACAACTTTTAAAGAAACTGTCATCTTTCAGTATAACACTTTTTGACAAGGAAATAACACCTGTGCCTGTCGTTAAGGACTTGGGTGTTCTTCTCGACTCACACCTCAGTTATAATCAACATATCACTGAGATTGCCTCTAAATGCCTTTTTAAATTGTACCAAATTAACAGAATCAAATACCTCCTGGATAGGAAAACACTTCTGTTAGTAATAAATTCTTTTGTCTTTAGTAAACTCCAATATTGTTCAACTGTCTGGAGTAATACCAGCAGCAGCAATATTGACAAGTTACAAAAAGTCCAAAACTTTGCCGGGCGAATTATTCTGGGACTAAGAAAGCATGACCATATTTCGGATGGGTTGCGATCGTTGAAATGGCTTCCTATTAGAGAGAAACTCATTCTAAATGACGCTACTATGATGCACAAATGTATTAACAAGCTTGTTCCAGACTATCTTGCTGATATGTTTAAATTACGTTCTCAAGTCCATAATAGACAAACTCGATCATCTGGTGCTTTGGATATACCTTTATGTCGCCTGTCAACAGGGCAGCGCTCCTTTGCTTTCAGAGGAGCCAAACTCTGGAACTCCTTGAATGATAACATTAAGTCTTTAAAATGCCCCAGGAATTTTAGACGTCATCTTGCAAACGTTTTATTAAGTTGATATATTATATTATTGATATATATTTTGTAATTATAATATTATTGTATTTACATTCTCAATTAATTTATATATTGAGCTGAAAAGCCCACTTAGGGAGCATCAATAAAGTATATGTATGTATGTATGTATGTATTCCAAATAATTCTGGGCATTTTAATCGGCCACCCACGCATGTACAATGTAGCCATTCAGAGTATGGAGTTACCGTGTTTTTTGACCGAAATCTGGCAGCTCTTGTCCAATAGAGAACAATACGAGTCAGAATAAGATTATGATTTTGCATGTTCACCCCCAACTATCTCGAATACATAGAAATTATTCCATGGAAAGTGTGTACGAACGAGTTTTATTCACGGGTTGCGATACACCAAAAAAAAAATGAACAAGTGAGCGCAGCGAATGAATAAGTATTTTGATGCATCGCACTTTCCATGATATGAAGTTTTTATTTCATTCATACTTAGATTT